TTGTTGTTGTTGTTGTTGTTATTATTAAGGCTTCGTAGCATACTGCTGTCCAGGCCCCAATGGTGTTCAGTGATACTGTGCTGATGTGGCAACTTTTGGAGAAATATTACTTACATTGGAGTGAAGTCCTCATGCATTTTATGTACGTGTACCTGTATAAGCTGGAATACATTTAGCCTGCGAACAGGCTCCCAGTGAGCCTGAATGAAGCCAGGGAGCCTGTAGACATTCTATTGATGCAGCCATTCCATAATACCAGCTCCTGGTATCATGATATGTTTGGTTAAATTGCTGATTTTTGACATCTTTGAGATGAATATTTGACAGATCTTTGTAAAATTATACAACTCCAACGGTTCGTTCTCTTTTAAGCTTCAGTCTCTCGACCTCTCGTTATTTCACAAGTGATTCTGAAGGGTACTTAATGCTCTGTTACGCGGAGGAATTTGAAGTAGAAGTGGAATTTCAAGTAGTGGAGTGGAGCCGTTTGGCGGTGCTATAGCAATTTTTTTAGAGGTCAAAGGCATAGTTTCCAGACTTTCTGCTGTTATCTGCTTTGCGATGTGGTTCTTAAGTATTGCTTGCTATTTTTCCACTGAAATCCTTTTAATGTTCGTACTCTCGAACTAATAATTCTTGCATGCACTTGAACAACACTGGCATCAATATTTTAAAATTGATTGCAAAATTCTTACTAGAATGTTTCATCATCGTGATCCTTCTACTTTTCTGGGTTTTGCACAGCTTGATAATGGTGGAAAAACTGTATTTACAGAACATTGAAACTCTGTGTTAAAGTTCTTGAATGATTCCTATTGTTTTTGTTGTAGGTCAGCTTGGAAGTTGGAAGATGAATACAGACTGCAACAAAGTTTCATCTCAAGACAACAGTACCATAACAGAGTGTTCACAGCTTGCCAACAAGAACTTCTTTGCTATCATGATGGTAATGCCACCTTCCTTTTACCATATTATAATTTCTACTGAATCTAAACCCCTTCAAAGAAAGAAACAGTTTTGTATGATTTCTGCAGGATTAAAAAAATGAATTTCAGCAAACTATTCAGCAAATGCAATTAATAGCCACTGGTGGAATATTTCTGTGGATTCGCTTGTGAAGATTATCTCTTTTACAGACTGGTCAAAATGTATTGGGGTGGGGGTGGTGGGCTGGAGCAGAGAGGGGGTGGGTCATCAGTTTTTGAGCCCTTGGTAAGGGGTGGGTCATTCAATTCAGCCATCCATGTACGGGGGTAGGTCATCCTGTTTTTTTAACAGGAATTGGCACTCACTTGACACAATTGACAACAGAGGCAACTCCTTCCAGCTCAAAAGGACGAAAACTTTTCAAGCTGTGACTGAAAAAGTACACTTGGTTGGTGTACAATAAAAATGGCAATTTCATGTATTGTAAAATCTGTACGGATGCTACCAAGTCTAGCGGAATGAGCAAGGAGTCCCAGGACAGAAATTTTCAAAATACTGCACTGTTTTGATATGCTGGTCTTCAAGAACACCAAATGACCAACTTGTGTCCACATGCTAGTACAGGACACATGTTCATAGATCTGGGACTCACACTCTTGGGCCTGGCTGTGTGAGTCCCAGGACTCACTACAGCCTTTTTCTAGATGGATCACTGTTCCACACATAGAGAGTCTGGAGGCCAAGTGTAAAAGGTTTAAGGTCAATTGTGGTTTTGGAGTTTACAAACATGACTCTTAAGTTGCAAGAGTAAAGGAAAACAATGTTATCTTTAGATGATTTTGATTTTGTTAAGAAAATGTAAATAATACTACAATCACATACACAAAATGTGACTTTGTTGGATTATGCAACTAAAAATGTCATGTTTTATAGGGCTGGGTCATGTGATTTTCAACCTTCATTTTGGGGTGGATCACTCAGTTTTGAGCCAAATGGAAGGGGTGGGTCATGTTTTTTCTAACCACATTTTCAAATGCTCCATCTCCCTCCACCTTCCCCGCCCCCACCCCGCCCCCCTTTGTACTTTTTGACCAGTCCCTTAGGATGTTTGTTTAGTCTCTGACAGATCTGTTCTAATCTATCCCACTTTCCGGGTTTCATCACAAGACTAGGTTTATTTCTACTTCCCCCTCCCCCTGGGTGGGATGCTAGTCCATGACAGGGTTACTAGGCACTGTGAGAGTGAAGTGTCTCGCTCAAAAACACAACACAATGACTCTGGTCAGGGCTTGAACCCAGACCATTTGACTGGACTCCAGTGTGCTGTACCATTAGGCTGGGATTTGGATGAAGAGCAGATAAACAACACATTTTATTATAAAACCCAGATTTTTTGAGTTAGAAAAAAAGGCATGCATTTACCCTACACTCATCACTATGCCCTTAAAAGCATGTATGTACTCAAGGCTTCCTAGTTTTATTCTTGTCGTTCTTTATCCTTGATAACTTACAGTTTACCTCCAAATTCTCGTGTGGGCACATACACAAGATTCATTGTACACTCAACGTGGTGAAGAGAATGTAAATTGATGTGCTGTTTTTGTTTCCTTTGTGTAGAGTGTAAGAAAGCCAGGGGACACTAGGGCCTCTGGAGATAATTTATTGTATTTGCTGCCATTTTCCTTGGAACTAATCGTGTTTGTTGGAGCTGGTATCTCCATACTCTTCATCTTAACTACTTTGATAGTGTACGCCGTGGTAAGGTACGCAGTTTTATACTGAACTATGTATGTGATCATAAAATGCACTATGTTTACCTGTGCAGCATTCTGTGCTTTCAGATCCAAGATCCTGTTTCATTAGATAGAGGGGAAGGAGGCGGTTCTTTGCCTCAGGGCACGACTTCGTGTCATAAACTTATGTCTACACAAATAAGCTTACCCATTGTCGTCCTACTAGTAATCTAAGAATTGTGTAGGTGGGAACTGACGATAAGACTTAATGAATTTCTAATGAATTTCTGCTGTCACTAATTAACAATTAGACCCGTAGCCCGCAAGGGCTACGGGTCAATAGCCCATGAGGCGAAGCCGAATGGGCTATTGACCCGTGGCCCTTGAGGGCG